TTCGTCATAAAGTTAATTTGGGAAACTTGTACTATTTGTATATTTGATATTAATCACAAATAGTTTTAATTTTTAAAAATGAGTAATCGAATTAGGAAAATAAATGTCCTTTCCAATTTAAAAAAAAAATGTTAAAATTATATATGTGAAGAGATTAAAAATTGTAAATAATTAAAATTAAATTTAAAATAAAAAATGAATTAAATGTCATTTTAGAATTCGAAATTTGCGAAAAAAAAGTAATAAACTAATTTAACTAACTAAAAAAATAAAGTTGGGTCTAACCAATGTTTTGCAATGTAGCACATTTCTCTTCAACAAGTAAACCTCTGCTTTGAAAAACCATCTCGCTATGTAATACATTATTAAAATCACTTTTATTCATATTCTATACAAATATATTTCAAAGATTGCATATACATATTTAGAATGAGCACTGTATGAAATCTTTGAAATAAAACAAAAAAAAAATTGAAAGAGGTGTTAACGTAATGTTCGAATTCAAGGGTTAATTATATGACAAAAAAAAAATTATATTTTTTAATGGCAAGACATTTATCGTTAACTTCATGTATATTTATGGAAATTTGGAAAAAATTACAGTCTTGGAGATATAAGGTGCCGAAAATTAGAATTTTACATATTTCGAGAGTCGATACCTTGAGAGGGAATGGAGGCGGAAGAAATTTTTCTTCTGACGAAATGAACTATTTACTTATTAGTTTCTAAAAGCTTCTAAAAATCTGAGGTCTAAGGAAATATCAAAAATTTGGAAAAGCGGATTTTAGATAACGGTAAATTTTAACGGCCAGTTTTTGTAAAGTGCAAATGTGGTATGCCACAGAAGAAGTCAGCCACTATTTTCCTGCGTTTGCAAAATTTGAAAAATGCTTATGATTTATTTAAAATAAATAGTTAAAAAATTAAATAAACCACGACGAACGGACAGAGTGAAATTAGCAAGCACCTTTTTCAAAAAATTGTGGAACTGTGCTAAAAATAAGCTGATAATATATTCGGCGGTATTTTTTCGTAAAGGTCGCGGCAAAAACACGGACATGGAGAGCATTTATAATTTTTTATTGTTTGCACTTTTTCACCAAAAATGCTTATTAGTTTCATCCGTCTACCCGTGGGTTTTTTTATAAGACAAGCAGTCGAAGTCGACCATTATTGTAGCAACATTTTTCTCGTATCTCCGAAGAGTATATACAAATTTTTTTTCGTAACATAATTTTGAAATACGATCGTTTTCAAAAAGTGTTTTAATTTGCTTAAGCGAATTGTGCTACTCTACAAACTATTCCTTTAATCAAATGTTTCTTAAGTTTATTAGTTTTAGTCTTCTTCCTATGGAGAATAAAAATCTTTTATTGCTATTAAAAGTATATGGAGTTTTAATCTGCTTCTGTCGCATTCTTCGGTAATTTTTAATTTTTGCAATAAATTTAAGATGTAAATTCAAATTATAATATTAAAGTTATAACGTTAATTAACTAAAAAAATGTTTTAATCAGTTTTCAGTTTTTCCACGTAAAATATTTATACGCGTACGAACGTATGTTCGAAGGGTATACTAAAATTGCCTCACGGTTTGTAACTCTAAGAAATAACGGTCTTAGATATAGACTCAAGTGTTGTCTGTCCGTCTGTCCGTCCATCCGTCCGTCCGTCCCGGCGATAACTCAAAAACTAATTGAGCTAAGTTCACCAAATTTTCTCAAATGATTTATTGTTGTAAGTACCAGACCTCTATTTAAATTGGACATGATCGGGGTACCGGTTCGGGTAGCTGCCATACAACTTCAAAATTTATTTGGCTATATCTCAGAAACTGTAAAAGCTGTGGTATTGAAATTTCACACACACGAATATATTAATAGGGCCAATGTGTCTCATAAAAGTCTTTGAAATTACTTGTCTGCTTCTGGTACCTGCCATACAACCTCAAAAGTTATTTGACTATATCTCAGAAACTATAAGAGCCATTGTATTGAAATTTCACACAAGCGAAAATATTAGTAGGGCCAATGTGTTTGATAAAAGTCGTTGAAATTGCTGGACTCCTTCTGGTAGCTGCCATACAACTTCAATAGTAGTTTGGCCATATCTCAGAAAATATTGAAAACACAGTACTGAATTATTATCATAAATTAACATGGTAATACGTCAACTTAAAGTCATATTCTGTCCCATAGTAAGTTTTGGCATATTTATTCGCACATAGGAAAACAAATTCGTACGGGTATCACAGAGTTGACAAGGTCAACTCTATTTTTTTTCGTTTTATGTTAAATTTTAATAATATTTCACATTCTATGATCATCCCTTTGATATAAACTGTACAAAAAGGAAGCTGCAAGACCATTAATGACCCTAATATTTATTTTTAAACATTAATTATAATGTACAAAAGAAGTAGTTATTTATTATTTTCAGACATGCTGTTCCTAATTTATATAAGTATGTGCATTTATTTGCTAGCCTTTACTCAATATACTGCTCTCTGGATTGCCCTATATTTATGCAATATACTTATGAGTGCTTTAGAATTAAATTATCATTAATTTTTAAAATAAAAAGCAGTCGTTATTATTATTTAATTATTTAAATTATTTTCAATTTTTTTTAATTAATGTTAATAAACGGTAAAAAATTCGTTTCAAGATGATTCGGAAGTCATCTTGATTTTTGCCCGTTATAGCAATAGTTCAACTCTATTCAAATAGATAATTTTTTTTAAGCTTGTTGAAAAACAAATTATGATAGTTATAATCTATTAAAAATGAGTTTTAAATATAATTAAAAAAATTAAAGAGAAATCTATGACGAATTTTTTTTGTGTTTATCAAAAGATTTTAGCTTAAAAATGGTGAATCTGCATATATTTCTAACAAAAAAGTAGAAACATTAATGAAACCAGTCTTGTTTTGCTAATAAAAAAATTTTGTTTTTACAGGAGTTTTTATTCCAAAAAAATTTGTCGCCAGTAGAAAATGAAAATGTATTTTAAAAATAAAATGTATGTATGTATGTATAATTATTTGATAATTTTTCTTTTTCGGCCCTTAAATATCTTTCATCTATTCAAAATTACTAATCATAATTACTCCAAAATAAAAAACTCAGTTTAATGATATATGTATGTAAGAATATTTGACAATTTTCAAAGCAGCTTTAAGTGTCTATATTATAAAGATATAAAAACATACGTTAAGTATGTATGTCCCAATTTTTTACTGAAACTCTTGAAAACACGAAAATTATAGAAAATGAAAGTTTCTATATATTTTAACTATGAAAAACGTATACAAAAACAGTTAAATAAAAAAATCAAATTATTTGAATGCACAAGAATTAACATTATTATCTTTTTTTCAGCAATTAAATTTTGTTAAATAATACATAAAAGCACGCACCATTTTTTAGATTTAATTTTTATATCATAATAAATATGAAGGATAATGTCACATCATTTCTTTCCACCTTTATGATACCAAACAATATATAAACGTCTATATTAAATTATTCCTGCACAATTATTTCATTTTGTGTCACATATACACTTAGTCAATACATATGTATTAGTACTTTTAATAATTAGATATATATTGCATACTCACATTTATATACTGTATGTAAATAAAAATAAAAAATATAAAAATTGGTTTATACATTCATATTAACATACATAGCTTCGAAACATATTTTTTTAATATGTATGTTTGTAAATACCTACATTATTTAAGTATTTTCATGACACACCAATACGCTTTAAATATATTTTAACTGCTATAAAACTTAAAACAAACGTACATCGTTATTTTTATAATTATAGTTTAGTTTTATCTATTTTTTCTTTTAATATTTTATACTATATGGCTTTTTCTATATATATATATGTATATATTTCATTGTTGGATTTTGGCACTAGAATTAAGAGAAAAATTATTAACATTTTCAAGTTTCGATATCTCTCTCGTGCAACGTCAACCAGTTGACAGTAGTGTGGGTGAGGTAATTTTATGCATAACGATTTTGTTTTACATTATTCAATATTGTTCTATATATATAAAGGCAAATTTTCACTAGTATATTAGAAGATGCATAATATAAATTTTAATATACTTATAAAACTAATTTATGCTCCTTATATTATTCATAATAACTTCAAAAAAAAAATATATATACATACATATATATGTATATATATATATATATATATATAATTTTGTATACATATTTAGGTATCTACTTCTGTTAATATGTGTAAAAATAAAAATTAACTAAATTAAAATATTAATTAATTTTATTAGATATATTGTATTTTCCTTGTTTATATACTACAAATATGTATATCATGTACACATATTACATCATGTACATATATATATTGCAGGCATGTGTAAAAGTTTAAGATATATTTATATTAAGATTTTCTGTATTATTTACATAATGCATTACATATGTATGTACAAACACACATAGTTCTTGTACAATTTTATGTGTATTTTTATAAATGTATAAATGAAAATATTTCTCTATGTTAGTATACTCGTATTATTTAGCGTTGCATACTTATATGCACTATATAATAATAAATATTATGTCTATAATATATATGCATGCACATGAAATAGGAAAAAAATCTAATAAAACCATTCTTAGATATTACAGTGATCAACTTAAAAAAATTAATATTATCCTTTAATGAAGCTAAATTATGATTTTTTTATATATATTAAAAATTTTGAGATTTAATAAATAAATGTACATATTTATGTAGGCATATATGTATAAAATATATGTACATATATGTATAAAAATTTCATTTTGTATGATTATTTATCAATTCACTTTTTATTTTACAAATTAGACAGTAAATCCAGTCGAATTAAAACGGTAATTTCATAAAAAAAATTATTTTCGAGGAAAAATTTTGTTTTATATTTTATAAAAATTATATTCTTTTTTAATTTTTGAAAAGAATATAAAAATACCGTATATAAGTTCAAATTGTTCGAAATAAGGAGATTTTCCATCGACAAACATCGCGACGTAACTGAGAAGGGACAAATAATTTTTATATATTTTCAAAAACGAAAAACTTTTAGGAAAATCATTTTACTCTCAGAAAATAAAATTTTCAAAAGTTTTCCTATTTAAAATTCAATACGTATAAATAAGTACATATATCGTATTCCGCCACACATACCATACCTATATGTTATATTATTATGTACAATAATTCATATACAGGCAAACCTCGTTTTGCGTTGATTGAACGTATTAACATTAAGACTGTTTTAGCGTAATATATTTGTATGTATTTACAATAATTGAAAATACTTTAGATTAAAACTTTCCTCCTTTTAAAAAAAAACGAATACTACCAACGTTGCTATACAGAAACCCTAAGGAATAAATTTCTTATTTTAATTTGGATTTTTATTCATCAAAATGCCGCCAATTATACAAATCAACTGGGCTCGCTGAGCTCGTAATGCTGCAAGCCACTGTGGGTAAACTAATGAGTGCAGTTAAAAACAGAAAAAAAGCGATTTTCCGCAGCAAAATGTCAGAATTCATTTTTTTCATGTCAGAAACAGTTTTTCTATATGGAATATAGAATACAAACATTTGAACAGCACACCCAGAATCGAGCAAAATTACCGTCGAAAATTTCACCACCAACAGTGAAGTAGAATAAATTCCTATTTTGTCACTGACCGCTTTTTTTTTATTATCTGTTTCCATCTGTTGATTTATCTGTGTGATATGCAAAACACTATGCAGTTGATTTTACCATTCCGCTTTTGTTCTGGACTAACGACGGAACTCGTGTGCCGTTGCAAGATTAACGGAATCGATTAACATTAGACAATACGACATAATTATGATTTACGACACAACCATTCCGTCTCAACAACAATTTCGCATGATCCAAATTGTAAAATAAAAGCTCACGAAAGCTTTATAGAAAACGAATTTGAAACACACATATGTCGCCTATAATAAATTTTTAAATACTATATGAAATCGAAGCGTACGGTGTTATCAAGTGGTTGAAAATGATTAAACCACTTGATTGAACACTTAGGGCCTGGTCGACTATCTCGGTATCTCGGAACTATGATATATTTGTATAATGTAATTTTCAAGTGAGAAGAATTATTCCGTATTGGGTATCTCGTTTTTTTCTAAAATGTATGCAAAAATTAGTCACTTTGTTTTTGAAAGTGAGACGTTCGGTCGATAATTTGAAAAAAAAATACAAAAATACAATTGAAAAATAGAAATGAAAGTGAAGATAAATGAACTGAATTGAAAAAATGAAAGTGAAGAAAAACTGTGTACAAAAAGCGAGATATACGTGTTAATATATTAATTTATTTTTTTTACTTAATTTATTTCTTAATTTATTTTTTTAAATAAAATATTAATACATTATGTCAATACAAAATATCTTTACATTGTCAATAATAAAACTGAAATATTTTTTTTTTTTAAAAATTGACATTGAAAAATCCTTTAAAAAAAGCAAAATCGAAAAATTGAAATTTTATGATTTGAATGCCTCAAACGACAAGGTGTACATATTTGCAATCACACACCTTTTTTTGTCTGTATTTAAAGTCCAACATAAAAGAAACCTTGCCATATTGTATCGTAAAACAATCGTATTTTGATATTTTAAAGTCAGAAAATATTTATTTGCGAAGCTGAAAACAAAACTAATAATGTTGTACATCACAAATTATAACAAATCTACATATGAACATATTGTTCGAAATGCCCACGGTACCAAGTTGTTTTATGATAAACATAACCTAGATTAGCCTGTACTATTGGACATGTTATCAATATTGGAACTTTGAGCTTTATGAAAAAATAAAAATATATACATATTAGTTGTTTTTACATTCTATAAGTTTAATATTCTTATTATACATGTAGGTGCATGAATAGGTATAAATGAATAGGTATGGATGTGTGAAAAGTTTTCAATACATGTGCACAATGAGTTGATTAAATAAAAAAATTTTATTTAAAAAAGGATTTTACTTTAGGACTCATTCCCAGGCAAATATATAGGTGTTGCTTAAAGCTCGGTAAGTTTAAAGTTTTTGAGTAATTAAATTTGTAAGCTTTTCACAATAAGCTTAAAATGTGAACATATACATAAGTATATGAACATGTAATAAAATGTGAACTATTATTTAACTAACACCACTATGGGATATGTATATTCGCTTGATTCTGATATTTTGCTTCTTTCTTAATTTTTTTAATATTACTTAACATAATTCGTCGGTTAAGAAGCAGAAAGCATTAAGTCAGGAAACTGTGTTTTGAGTAAATTCAATTTGAACAAATCGTATAAACTATATTCTGGATTTGCATGATTTTTTGCCACAACAAAGATTATATTATTCTGATTTAATTCATCTATGAAATCCGAATTCTCAAAAAATACACTTAGTGCTTTCTGCTTTTTAACCGACGAATGTTTGGAGATCTTCGATAATTCGGAAATGTACTTAAATTTCAAACTTAAATGCTGAAATCTTTTTTTGCATCATTAAACAGCTACATGAACTCACTAGTTTTCTCTTCAATTTTTTTTTTCTTTCAAGTAATATCTAAATTTTCCTATACAGGGTGTTTCACATAAGGTGGCAAATAATTTCAGGGATTTTTGATTCTTACTTAATCGATTCTTTGATCAATTTTCAGTAAAAAACAGTCCGGAGGAAGGTAAATTCATTTTCGAAATATGAATAAATGCTTTGTAATCATGCGACATAGGAAAACCATCAGGAACTTATTTTATAGGCGCTTGATTGCCCTTTATTTTCGGTCTTACAGTTAATTAATCAGAATTTTAATTTTTTTTTTTAACTTTTTTGAAAATTTGCGTTATTATTACTTTTTTTGTTTTTCACAATGTACTGCAATGTGAGCTAAAAGTTAACCTAAATAATATTTTCCTCTATCTCTTGTGTTTTAAAAGCATGCGAAAAGTATGTAGTTGATACATGCATTTTTCTCATACATACTAACAAATTAGAAGGATTTCTCCGAGCTTTTTTTGGTTTTTGGATGAAAGTGATGAAAAAAATCACCCGAGGCCCAATATGGATTTACTAGATTCAAAGTAAGTTTAAATTTCTTTTACTTTTATATTCCAAAATATTTTAATTCACTTACATACATTTCTTTCCATAGATTTATCCAAAACTTTAGATTCCATAAAAACGCTTTTATGTACATATGTACATATGTTTTAAACAAATTTAATGCCGCAAGAAAAATAGCAACAAGAGCTGAATTAATTAAGTTTTTCGAATAAAATTAATTAATATTGCTATTAAAATATACATCTAATTATACTTATAAGATGTTACTATTGTTTCCTTTTTCTTTAATTTTTTAAAATATTTTTCTCATTTGAAAGGACGAATGGAAGTTTCCCACAATATGTACATATGTATGTGAGAGTTATTTACAATAGAGTTAAGTTTAATTCATAATTTGTAAATTTATTAAGTTTTTAATATTCAAAAGAAAACATTTGTGTTTGTTTTATTTTGCACTAAATTTACTTCAGATGGCATTATTTTGTTAGGAGCGGATTTTCTAAGCAAAATTAGTTTGTATTTATTTTATTATAAAATGTTCATTCATACGATATTTAAAATGGACTTTTTTTTATATATTTACAGTTTTCCTAAAAATGATGAAATGAAAAAAAGTGGATTGCAATTATTAATAAAGAACTTTTCATTTCAAATACGTTCACAACATTTTGGTTCAAACAATAAATTAGAAATATTAAAGGAAAGAGCATCTTTGTTTCCATTTCGCTTACACATTTAAAAAATCGTATCTTGAAAAAAAAACATAGTGACGCCAAAAATTTCGGGTAAAACTTTTTTTTGCTCTAAGAATTGTCAATCTAAAATTAATATTAAATGCTAAATGTTGGTATAAAAAGTAAACAAAAAGATTTTGTTATTTTATTTATAAAATTAGTGCAGTTTGTAAATAAAAAATTCTAAAATATTTAATAATATGTGTTAAAAAAATAATACAATTTTATAAAAACTTATAAAAAAATTATAACAAGTGAAAAAAAGAAAAACATTTGTTGAAAAAGAAAAAGGTGTATAGTTTTAAATTGTTATTCCCATTTGCAAAAACAAATAGTTTTTTTACACCATATACACGTGAATATTATTCATTTCAATAAATACATAAATGAAATATTTATTCAATAACGCTTTGATTAGTGATTTGATTTTGCAAAGAAAATATATGTTTTTGTTTTGTTTTAAATTAAAATTACTTCGGATGGCATAATTTTACCAGGACCGGATTTTTTTGCACAAAATGAGTTTGTGTTTGACCAAATGTAGCATACAAACAAATATTTTAAATAAATCTTTTTTTTTTCGTATACATAAATACAGTTTTCCTAGAAAAGATGAAATGAAAGATATTTCTATTTATGGAGTGAAGATTTGACCAAAAAAATATAGAGGACATTCCGATGTCGTTTAATTCAGTAAGTAAAATAAAATATTACCGTGACTTATTTAAAAAATTTATTGTTTTAGAATAAATTAGTATGTGAAGCTCAATTCATAAATAAGAAAGAATAACGCAAAATATCATCTACTTCAGTGAGTAATAACCATTATATTGATTAAAATTGGTTAAAAATTATACTGTTTTAGAGTCATTAAAAAATTTGTGTATTTATATTTACAAAGCAGTACAAAATATAAAAAAAATATGCGGAGTTCAAAGGCAATAAGAATTTTAATTGTGATAATTAATATTATGATATTAAAATACATTTTTATACTTAATTTCAACTTATAATATAATTTTATTCAAATATTAATTGTTTAAAAATTAATGAGTTTTCTTCAAATTTAATTTTTTTACAGATATTTCAAATATAAAAATATTTTAAAATATTTTTGAGTTTTTACTTTAAAAAAAATTTTTAACTTTTTTGTTACAAATTAAACATACATATTTTGTAGTTCGACCTAATAAAAAAAATACGCTCGTGTTAGAATAAAAATAAAATGAAAAATAAATACGCTCATGTTTCACTTTGCCAATGCTTGGAACAAGAAAGAGACAACTAAGAGGACTTTGGCTTAGATAATTGTTTTTTCAAAATGCTCTTCCTTCAACATTTCAATATAATAGAATAGCAAATATGTTATCTCACACATTTTTTTATATGCGATGCGTCTAATAGAGTACTGATAATATTTTTTTCATCCAAATTTTTTTAGTCGAGTTGAGGTGGTAAAAAAACTATTACGTCACGTCACCTCAAATATGTTTTTCTGGTAACCGTGTCTGTAGGGACGATAAAAAATGTTTTTAGATTTGTGACAATAATATCTAACGTGGTGTCGAAAAAAAAAATTAAGATTGAATAATGTTAAAAATATTTTGGTAATTGACATATAGACCAAAAACAAAGAGAGCAATAATTAGCGATTCTTTAAGTCCTTGAAGCTTCCCATAGCATTTTAAAGAAATTTTATAAAAAAACTTTTATAATTATAAAAAATATTACAAAAAAAACTTTTTGTAAAGTATTTCGAAATTTCGCAATATGTTTTAAGCTTTTACACAAACATGTATATCAAATGTACAGTTGACATGTTTACAAAAAAGGAGATTTTATGTTTTATTACTTTTTTCTCTATAGTATAGAATATTAACAAAATCTTACAAAAGTTAACACAGTCTGGAAGATTTTTTTTAAACCAATTTTTAATGTTTTTATAGCACAAAACTATGCTATTCTACTAATGAAACTAATGATTTCTATTTTACTATTAAAATAGAAAAGTGGTTTTTGATTTAAAAAGGACGCTCTTAAAAAACAATTTATGATGTTAAAAGAGAGGACCCCTAAAACTTAAATAAGATACGTGTAGTTTCCCCAGCTGCGCAACGTCTTAGGGTCTAATATGTAAAAATGCGAAATTCGCAAATTTGCGTAAGTTAATTTGCCGCAACTAGTTTCGTACTATTTAACAAAATCGCATCGCAAAAATTTTAAACTGGCAGCACTTTTTTAAATATTTTGTTTTCGACTTTTCTGACAGTTTTTTCAAAGTCAAAGTATATCTACTAATAAGTAGTTCGACTCTCCGTTTACATCAAACTAATGCAATCACACCAATATTTGTATACAAAATATTTCCTTAGCTAAAAGAGTTAAGCAGTATACCTTCTTATTTTCATTTTTATACACATAAGAATTTTTGGGAGAGGGAAAGAGTACGCAATAGATGTCTACCTGTTTTTTTATAATGTATTTTTAAAAGCGGGAGTTATTTATTTTTCCCTATATAAAGTATAAGAAAAAATATTAAGAATTTTAAAGGCAGGATTTTTATTTTTGTAACTTATTCCAGTACAAGGTGGCAAAAAAGGTGTATTCATATTATAAAAGCAAAGCGGAAAAAATGTGTTTAAAAAAATTATTATAATATAATTTTGAAAAATAATAAAAATTAATTTTAAAAGGACGTATAATATTAGAAAAAATTTTAAATAGCTGTGAAAGAAAAATATTTTACAGTATTTTATAAACCATTCAAGAATTTCATGGATAATTTAAAGATTTTAGAAAATACTTTTATTAAACTTTTTAATGATATTTGTACAGAAAATAATTTTGAATGTAAAATATATGAACACTTATAAACTAATTTCAACTATGAATGTTGTGAGAAGTCCGACAAGTCATATTTCATTAAACTGTATATTAGAATTAGAATTTACCACATAATAAAAAGTTTTAATAAGACTATAAAACAATTAGAAAAAAAAATATTTTTAGTGTTAAGCATTTGTAATTGATAATTATTAATAAATAAAATAAATAAATCTTTAAATTCTTTATTTTTATTTCAATCTTAATAAATTTAGAACATATTTCAAATGAATCGGTAATAATTATATTTCATAAAGTAATCAGTATGCATACACCTTTTTTCTTTATAAATTACTTTATTTCTTTGTCACTACCTGATACTGATCAGACTGTGTATCTACTGTACCAGGTACATGCATGTGTACATTCATACATGAAATTTCAAATTCTTTTGATTTCATACATTTGAATTTTTTACCTAACTTTAATGAAATGAAAAATAAATTTTGTTATTATCAAAATAAAAATAACAGAATTTTTACCTAACTTAATTTAATTTTATTTCAGTTCAATTTGATACACACGTTTGTTTACAATATTTTGTTTTTTTCTTGCCTACACAACTCCTAATACCATCTATTTCTAAAAAAAAAATGGAATATTTTAAGAATTTGGAAGCAAGATGCAAATGAAAACTAACGGAATGGAACGAGTCGAATTACTTATTAATAGATATACTTTGTTTCAAAGTAAACATTTGAACTACATATTTTAAAATAGTCATACATTTAAATATATGTATATTAAGGAGGTGCTTAATGTTAATTTTTTAAAAAAATATGAATTGCGAAAATTTTTTAGTAGGTAGGTTAAGGTATCTGAGATATATGGTTCAGCAAACCATTGCACTTATTATAACCGAAGTTTGTAAGGCTATAGAAACAAAAGTTAAATACCGTCAAAATAAAACTTGAAAGAATCAATGTCAAGAAAAAAGAAACAAAACAAATTTAGAATAACGCACGAATTTCATCATTGGGATGAACCAGGATGGTTTTGTATTTTATATTGACCCATAATTATAATTATAAATTACAAAAATTTAGTTATCTGCACTAAATTTGAAAACCAGTTTTTTTAATTTAAAAAAGCAAAATAAATGTAACAGTGTGTCATTCAAATTGTCTCAAAACAAAGTTTTTGTTACAGTTTCTGTAACTTTAATAATGCTTTATAAAAAGTTTAAGTACGGTATTAATATGATTGTAGTACCGCATCAGAACTTTCAATACCTTTATAGTGTAAAAAAAACTGCTAAAGCTTTTGATACATTTTGAAATACAATTTTTACAATATTAATGCATACTTCGACGTTTGTTTGGAATTTTCTATATAAAGTTCTGTGCAAATGTTTATTTTCAACAAACGTTACCATATCATTAAAAACAGCGAGCCTTATTCTAGTTGTCGAAGTAGAGCGACAATTGTCGTCACGACTTGAATTTGATATTCTAAATGGCGATTACAGTGACACGTGTCGTGGAATAGCGGGAAAATGTGTTTCAGGTATATTCCAGTTGTCGTTGTAGAGCGACACATGTCGTAGTGAAACGACGTTTTTTGTCGAAATGTATTTAACAAGTGACAAGCGAGATGGATACACCAAAAATGTAAGTTTAAACAAAACAATTTAATAAAAATATAAAAAATAATAAATTTTGTAATTTAATACATAAATTAAACCATATAATATATAATTTAATTTTTATTTTTAACTTAAAAGTAACAACAAGGAAGCAATTTGAAGAATTGGGAAATTTTATGACGGAGAACGCCTTTATTGCGAAAGGCCTTAAATTTGCTGAGAATAGCTGCATAAGCAAATTCGAGTTTGATGCGAAATGGAACCAGCTAACAGAAAAGCTTAATAGCTTGGGTCCGCCCATTAGAAGTACTGCAGGATGGCAGAAGGTAATTTTAACATAAGTTTAATTTAAAATTTAATTAATTTATGTAAATTTCAGGTAATTTTCAATAAAGGAATCATGAGATGATCCCGGATTATTAGCATCCACATACCTGGTGCGCATTTTATGATCGCAAACCTTTAAGTCACATTATATTAAAATATTAAAATTGTTGTTTTTTTTTTCAATTTCATTACTCTCGGAGTCTGATGAATCCATAAACCATAATGCAAATGACGACATTTTTTATTTCCCTCGGATTAAAAATATAAATATATACACCGAATTTTTTTTTTTAGTTTGAACTTTACTCGCCAAAATTTCTTTTTAAAATGTATCAATTTCACTTGAAACGTTTCATTTTCGTTTATTTCTCGCAGTCACGTCACTCGACAACTAGAATACCACATTTCAAGTGATGTGACAGCGACAACGACAAATGTCACGTAAGTGACGCGACAACTAGAATAAGGCTCAGCATTTTTATGCTGCAGTTAAGGAAAGAAACTTAATAACTAAAACTTAATTGCTGAAAATATATGTTAGTTTATTATGACGTGATAAGAAAAGCATGCTCGATTTTGTCGATACCCAATTTACTTTTATTTGACGTATGCACTACGTATTTGATGCATTTAGGAAAAGTGTACAATGTCAAGAGCTTTTACTAAACTTTTTGGAATATGATACTTAATGTCTTTATATCTAACAAGTCCCAATGCTCAGGGAGAAACTTGAAAGCACGACCTTATTTTATATGGGTTTTTTTAAAGTATAAGTGGCTATTTTTTGAGAAGAAATATTAAAATAAATTCACACTTATTATAAAGCAGGTAAAATTTAGAAAATATATTTGAATTTAAAAAAAATATATTAATATTTTCATTGATAATTATTTTAAAATTATAAAAAAAGCGGAAAAACAACAAGCACATCCTTCGCCTTCAACGTATTATATGTTACTGAAAGCATTTCATTGAGCCTTATTCTAGTTGTCGAAGTAGAGCGACAATTGTCGTCACGACTTGAATTTGATATTCTAAATGGCGATTACAGTGACACGTGCGTGGAATAGCGGGAAAATGTGTTTCAGGTATATTCCAGTTGTCGTTGTAGAGCGACACATGTCGTAGTGAAACGACGTTTTTTGTCGAAATGTATTTAACAAGTGACAAGCGAGATGGATACATCAAAAATGTAAGTTTAAACAAAACAATTTAATAAAAATATAAAAAATAATAAATTTTGTAATTTAATACATAAATTAAACCATATAATATATAATTTAATTTTTATTTTTAGCTTAAAAGTAACAACAAGGAAGCAATTTGAAGAATTGGGAAATTTTATAACGGAGAACGCCTTTATTGCGAAAGGCCTTAAATTTGCTGAGAATAGCTGCATAAGCAAATGCGAGTTTGATGCAAAATGGAACCAGCTAACAGAAAAGCTTAATAGCTTGGGTCCGCCCATTAGAAGTACTGCAGGATGGCAGAAGGTAATTTTAACATAAGTTTAATTTAAAATTTAATTAATTTATGTAAATTTCAGGTAATTTTCAATAAAGGAATCATGAGATGATCCCGGATTATTAGCATCCACATACCTGATGCGCATTTTATGATCGCAAACATTTAAATCACATTATATTAAAATATTTACAAATATTTAACAAGCAATGTTATACATACCAACATAACGTTTAAGCTATGATAACCCTTCCGGTTATAATGTAAATGCTGATGATTTTTTGACGGAGTTATAATTCTAACGTGTGTTCCGTCTACACAGCCGATCACTCCCGGAAACAAAAATTTTTCATAGAATGCTAATTTAATTTCATTTCTTTCATTCTCTTCTGGAAACTTTATCAAACTGCTGCAAATTTCAGCTTCTAAAGTTGTTAGAACTTCTTTTAAAATTTTAGAGAACGTAGGCTGCCCTAAACCTGTATACACTCCATTTGGCAAATCCAATAGAGCTGTCCCTAATCTTAAATCTTTTGATCCTTAATTGTTGTTTTTTTTTTTCAATTTCATTACTCTCGGAGTCTGATGAATCCATAAACCATAATGCAAATGACGACATTTTTTATTTCCCTCGGATTAAAAATATATACACCGAATTTTTTTTTTAGTTTGAACTTTACTCGCCAAAATTTCTTTTTAAAATGTATCAATTTCACTTGAAACGTTTCATTTTCGTTTATTTCTCGCAGTCACGTCACTCGACAACTAGAATACCACATTTCAAGTGATGTGACAGCGACAACGACAAATGTCACGTAAGTGACGCGACAACTAGAATAAGGCTCATTATTTTTAAATGAACAGCTTCTCCTAGGGTAAGTTAACTCAAGATATGGGGAGTAACTGTGGTGTCAAGTTGAAAATATAATTAATGAAAGATAATTCTTAAATATTTATATAAATACATAGTAAAGAAAAAATTTGAAGAGGGAATTAGAAAATAATATCTAAAATACAATCAAATATTATTTGTTAAATATGTACAAATTTTATATAAACTTCAAAATTTTACCTCTATTTTTATTTGAAAAAATATTAAAAACTTACTATCATTTATATCAATTACCTAAGAAAAAAAAATATTTAAAATGTTTGGAAAAAACAATCATATATTTTTATGACCGGATTTGAATATTTTTTTATTTTTGAAATAAATGGTATTTTACCAAATGACTCAAACGTCATTCCGACTGTAAAAAAAATAACAGGTATTTTAAAATTTTTGTTCAGGTATTTTAAAATTCTTTCCGTTTAGAATTAAGATAGGTCATACATACACATGCAGGGACATTTTATAAATAGATTGCTCTTGTTTACCTGATAATAAAATATGAAAAAAGAGCACAGCAAAATTTTTGAAGCACTCAATATAACATGTTTGAAATAGTTTTTAAATAATTATTTAAAAAAAAATTTATTGTAAGTAGGTACATACATATTTATTTTTAATAACTTAAAAACTAACTGAAATTATTTGAAGCAATTTTATAAGTAACGTATAAATAACCGAAATGAGATAATTCAAATTGTTGAAATGTGTCAACCTATATTACTTTTAATAACATTTTTGTTAGCCGACACTACTCAACTTACCTTATTGGGAAATACAAAATGTGCATAAAAAATCATACATCCTTCCTCATTAACATTTGAAACCATATTGAAATATGAATTTGAAATTTTTTTTCATTTTTTCTTTCCTCCTACCTTTCTTTCTTTTTCGTGCAATAGAATTTAAATGGGAAGCTTTTTAAAAAATGTGTATAATATCCTGAGATTTTTTAAATATTAATCTCTTTTTTACTTAAAAAAAAAGAAAAAAATAATAAAAAATATGACACGATCAGTGGCATTTAAAGAAAAAAGCCAAAAATTCGTAATATTTCGTAAAAAAAATTGATTATTGGGACTTGTTAGATATAAAGACATTATGATACTTGTAACAGTGGTGTTTTTTTTTTTTGCAAAAATCAAAATTTTCCAGAAAATATGAAATAAAAAACAAAATGAATTATTTGCTAAATGTAAAACTTTTATTATTATTACATATTTGAATTTTATTTAATTAACTTATATAATTTTAGAATCCACAAAGCCAACGCAATAATAAAATATTGTCCTTGCGACTAAATATTTATGTAATTAAATTTACAATTTTTAACTTACATAAATTAATTTAAACGTAAACAAAATATTTAACTAAGTTGCTTTGAAATAAGACTTCTATCATTTTTTTTATTATATTTATTTATCATTATATTTTTTATTTATTTTAATAAATTAGAAAAAATAATTAGAAAAAATAAATTAGAATGATTTTTATTTAAATTCTAAAAACAGAACAAATTAATCAAATATACGAAAAAGGAAAAACATTTCAGCCTCCAGTTGATACATACATTCATATGTATATAAAGATTTAAAATTCATTTAAAAAATATGTAGTAGGCTTGAAAGAAAATATCAAAGATGAAGCATTGATATGCACATACGAAACATTTTCCAATCAATTTGGCACTATTTATTTGACAAAAATTATCTTTTAAACATGATTTTTCTGGTTGTTATAACATTGAACATGATAAAATATATTTTGCACCCAATTATAAAGGCTTTTTTAGAACAAAATTCGATAAATTACATTTCTACATAAATACTTCAATAATTGCAAAACTTTCATGATAACGTATACAGCCCTATCATGAATTCCGCTCGTAGACTTTTGAATGATCATAAATTCCTTCGTAAAGATTATTGATCATTAGTGGCGGGGCCATTTTTCAGAGTGTCAACGTCAGTATTTTATTTCAACTGCCAAATGTTAATTTAAATTTTTTGGTTGCTATTTTAGTAAATAACTTTTATACAAAGTTTTGTAGTTTTGTTTTTAAATATTTATGAAAAGTAAAAGGAAAAATTTTTTAGCAAATATGAATTTATTTTCATTCATAGTAACTCTGTTAAAGTAATTCAAACTCAAATAAAAGTATTCAAAACATAAAAATTTGGTACAAACATTTCCTTAAAATAACATGTGATTGTTTCTTTCGTAGACTTTTAAGGGCGCTTTTTCTACGAACGTAATTTATGACTCCTCTATTATGAACATTCCAAGCAGTAATTCGTAACTGGGAATATAATATTCATAATTTCCGAATTTAAGAGCTGCGAACTCAATTCATGATAGAGCTGAAACTATGCAAGTAATAGAAAGTTGTAAAATAGTATTATACTTGAATATCAAATAATTTTGCAGCCATTTTGCTTAAATGAATGTAGATATGTATATACAATAAATACGACAAAAAATTGACTAAAACTAAATTATATTAACTTAAAAAACAATCAATTTACTTAATAATACTTGTATACATAATTATATATACTAAAAATTGAAATAGTAATATATTATACAATAATTTTAAATAAAGGGTACCTATTAAAAAAAATTTGTATCACAACGTTATGGGTAACTGAAAAATAAAGAATTTAATTTACAACAATTACTGTAAAACCAAACTTTAAATAGAATTGAAAATACTCTGCCTAAAATATTATATTAGTAACCAATAACGAGCTTTGATTATAACTCAAATCTATTCAAACAATGCAAAAAAAACTGAAAATAACTAAAAAATTGTAAAATGTAGTGTTTCAAACTTTTTTGGTTTCCATATAGAAAGATATTGAATTATAGAGAAAACATTTGTAAGAAATTTTATTTTGGTTTTTCTATAGATTGTCGCATAGGGAGCCCCTGTAATTTGAAGCCGATAATTTTATTAAAATGTCACTGTATGTATACTGAATCCTGCATCCGTTTTACTTTTCATTAAAAATTTTATTAAATTCAATTTATGAGAAAAATATTGATTGTGCCCGATTTCAAATTTGATACTGTTAAATATTTCCTTGGAATACCTGCAAGTCTTCATTGCAAAATGTTATTTAGGCTTTCAGAATTTTAAAATATTAGACTTTATTGCAATACAATCATTCTCTTTAAATTAGGTAGCTTGTTTCTTTGGAAAATAATTTACGCTCAGTAAATTGTAGTCTGTTTATTTCAACTCCAATCTTATCCAAATTATAACAATGCATACAAATTTTATAAATTTTTATATAAAATCGTCTTGTAATATTATTATTATATAAAATTTATTTCAATTTGCATAAATTTATTTGCAATTATTCAAAAAAGGTTTCCAAAACATAAATTTAAAGTCTATACAAAATTTTCTCTATAATTCGGTATTTTTACTTTTGGAAGACAAAAAAGGTTGGATACGCTAAATTTTGCAATCTGTTTTTTTAAATGCAACAATATATTTTCCAGAGCAATTTACCAATTATTTTAAGAAATTAGAACTTTAAGTAAAATTAATTAGAAGCAAAATACATAGATGTATTGGATTTTTTTCAAACAAGTAATATGTTCAAAACCTAATTTGATTTACAGATGTGCATACAAGTTAGCAAATAATTTTTAATGTGATATCATAGAATAAGTTCCGCATTAGGAAACCAATTCATTTTTGTATTGTATTAATGAGAGTAATAAAAAATTTGAATCTTTAGTATATTGTTACCATAGAATATTCATGATATAGTGTATGTCGTTAAATTCAAATTTTTTATATGAAAAAAATTATTTTTATTAGCTCGCCCCTGTTCAATCATTTATTAATTTTGAATATATGTATGTTTATGAAACATATAATAACAAAATATAATATGACTAAAAATTTTTAAATGAAAAGTTAATCAGAATATATATCTTGCTTTTCGTGTAGTCAAACACCAAAAACATATAAACAAAAAACATAACTAGAAATAAATCTTCTATTTCAATTCTAAAATTTAGTAAACTTCACGAATCTTTATAATTAATTATCTTTTAAGCTTTCTATCCTTTTCCTTCTTGTTGCAATTTCTAAATCAGTTTAATTTTTATTCGGAGTCGAAACTTTATGTTTTTAAAAAGTTTAAGACATTGTATGTGTATAAAAAAGTTTTAAAAAGAATTAATAATTCTAACGATAAAGAGAAATCCAATATTCCAAAATCGTTTTTTAAATATTTCCATTATGGGTTAAATTTTTGAAAATCCTTTTTCCTTATTTATTTTAATTATTTTGCCTTTGTAGCAATTAATAAATTTTTCCAGAATAGCTGGTGTCAACTGCATTTTGCATCGCTGTTTTAGTACTAACTTTTCGCTAAAGCTTTTTTCTTTCTTTGTACTAAAATATCATAAAAAGGATTATGGCTAATCGATTGCGTTAAACGTTTTATCCATTCCAGTTTATCCTCTTCTGTAGCCGCTGACATGCGATAAACAGTATGTTTTCCTTCAACAACCTTTAAAATAAGCAAAGAATTATTTTCCTTTTATTAAGTTCATTAAAAATTGTTAAAGTATTAAATAATTATTGCAAAGTTTGTACTAAAAATGGATCGCACTGTAACAACTTTTAAGTTCCGTGACTTCAATAATGCTGTAAAAAAGATTTAAGTATCCGTGACTTCAATAATGCTTTAAAAAAGATTTAAGTACCGTATTAATACGGTTGTAGTACCGTCTCAGAGTTTTCAATACCTTTACATTGTAAAAAAAAAAAACTACTAAAGCTTTTCGTACATTTTGGAATACAATTTTTACAATATCGACACATATTTTGACGTTTGTTTGAAAATTTCAATTTAAAGTTCTGTAAAAAGGTTCATTTTTATAAAACGTTACCATATCTTTAAAAACATAGCATTTTTATTCTGCATTTTAGGAAAAAAAACTTGATAACTAGAACTTAATTGCTGAAAATATATGGGCTTTTTCGATAATTCAGTTCTGTACTGAAAGATCTAACTTGGTTTGTAAAAGCTTATTACGCATACTTACAAACTTCTACAATCTTAATGACATATCTTTGCATGTCTGAAATGTCTATAATTTTTTTTAACAAGCTTTTTTTTTTGTTGTTTGCAAATTGTCAATTTTATAAAAATAAAAAAAGAAAGATGTCTGAAGAACAAAAAAAATTTTTAAGCAAATATGTTACAGATCAGATAATTTATCTACTTAATGAAAAAATTTAAAAAAGTAATATACGTTTTTATCTGGAAAATAAAAGAAGACGAAAGCATTTGTTACTAACATACATTAAAAAAAACGAAAAGAACCTTGTACCTAAGGTACCCAATTACTTAGAAACAATCAATTTGATACCGGATACTATATTTTTTGAACATTTCAGGATGGAGCGCGTTTGTTTTGTAGTAAGTTTGTTTCATCATCAAGTCTGGCTTGTATCAACATTTTTAATTTACATTTATCCCAAAATTTTTCATTTTCTAGCTCTCTATGAAAGAAAAATATAAATTATTAAATGTACAAAACAAAAATTGCATAAATTTACCCCATTAATTCTTCAATATCCGACATTTTTCTATTTTACTAATTTTCACTTTTATTGCAGTATTAAAAAAAAATCTTTAAAATTGCCTAAGAACTTAAAGCTCAATCGTATTTTCGAACGAGCTTTTTTTGCACGAGAACATTATCGAACATGCTACTCTTACAGATTTTGCAGATTCGATTTATCGAACGTGCTTTACATTCAGAACTAAGTTAGAACTGAATTATCGAAAAAGCCCTATGCTTGATTATTTTATCGGTTATTTCTGGCAACATTTATATGTCAAGGTATAAGAAAAGCGTGCTCGATTTACTTTTATTTTACGTCTCCGCTACGTATAAAACGCATTTAGGAAAAGTGTACAATGTCAGGAGCTTTTACTAAACTTTTTTTAATTTGATACTTTGTAAAATTTACGTCGTAAGCGCATTATTGAAGTCGCGGGTTGTTGTAAAAATTTGCAAAAATGTATAACGAAAATGGATAGTATAGAAACTTGTAGGGGATTCTCAATAATTCAATTCTTGTTTTTTTAACACTTAGTACCATTTTGGCATTTCGTTAGAAATGTATTTCGTGTTAGAAATGTAAATACAAACTGTTCTAAAAGCGTGTTTAAAAAAAATTGTGGCTACTATTTTTTCAGAATGAGCTTTTATTTTCTATGCTGCTTACTTACCATTTTCGAACTTCGCATATTCATTGAAAAAGGTACCATTAAAACATTTTTAAATGTTGTAAAAATACTTTAAAAAGAAATCGTACCTTAAGTCAAATTAAGAACCATTACAATGCCAAAATTAAGAAAGCCAATTCAATGCTTGTTTTTATAAAAAGATGGGACAAAGACCCATAAATCAAGAATACGCTTGTCAAGTTTTACCAACCCACCATATTTTTATCACATTCGTTTAGAAAAGAATTAACCAACAGAGATAGAAAATAATAAACCAACACAAAATAAAAAATTTTGTAATATTTATTAACATAATACTACTGACGGACGTGTAATAAATAAATGTGTCCTTTCTTACACATATCATATAAATGTTGCCAGAAATAACCAATAAATAAACTATCAAATATTTTCAGAAATAAAGTGTTTGAAAATTTCAATTTAAAGTTCTGTGCAAATGATATTTTTTAACAACGTTACCACATGATTAAAAACATAGCACTTTTATATTGCATTTTAGGAAAAAAACTTAATAACTAGCACTTTATTGCTGAAAATATTTACTAGTTTATTTAATTTAATGACATTTATAGTAGTTTATATAATTTAATGACACGTTTAAATGACATCTATAAGAAAAGCGTGCACGATTTTTACGATGCCCGATTTACTTTTATTTTACGTATGCACTTCGCATAGAACGCATTTAGGAAAGGTATACAATGTCAGGAGCTTTAACTAAACTTTTTGGAATGTGATACTTTGTTAAGTTTACGTTGTAAGCGCATTATTGAAGTAACGGACATTTTTACTTGACCTAACAATAAAATGGTAGTAGTTTTATGTAACTTCAAAAAAACTTCAACAATAACAACTTGAGCGTGAATTTATAAATTTGAAAAGCTTAAATTTTTATATATGATACTACATTTACCTTTCCTTCTGAATCAGTCTTACAAGCTTTAATGATATCAGCACCTCCGCTGGCGTATAATTCAAAACAATGTGGTTTACTACGATCCTGAATTTCCCTTACCTGCGGAAAGTATAGTTAGTTATTTGTTCAAATAATGAAAGGCGTATCTTAAAATTTAGATACAAAGAAGTATAATACAATAATTACCGAGATATTTTCTAGTGGAATAATTCCTCGGGGTTCCTTATCCGTAGTGTATTCAAAATAGTACAAGCAGTTATCGTTTAATATAAACCATCTACGTTTCCATGATTTGTATCTAAAATGTGTATTGGTTATCCATTATCAAGTGTTTCTAATTAACGTAATTACTATATTTTTATATTATTGAACAATATTAGATACATATTTAAACTTTACGGTGATATCGAAATCACTGAAAGTAGAAATTTTTTTTATTTATTACGCAAATTTCGAAAAAAAATAAAAATGTACGATCTTTTGACAATCATCCGTACGAAAAAAAAAACAACTATGAAGAGCTTGTCTTCAATGGTTTAAAGATGGTCCTATCTTTAGTATTACTATTTTGTTGCTAAAACTTAATTTTTTTGTTTTTTTTTTATTTGAATTTTTGTTATTTGAATTTGATTTTTTTTGTTATAAATAAAATTATTGAAAGTTGTGTTAAAATTAGATATGTACATACATAAATAAAACTATTGTAGTCAAATAATATTGTTAGAATTATAATGATTTGAACAACTTCGAAAAAGTTTTCGATGCTTTTTATACATATGTACTGATATTTTTTTGGTTATATATACATTGTAATTATAAGTATAATCTGTAATCATATATTGTGACACTATATGGATAATATATTTTAATATATATTTTAAATAGATAAGTATATTTTAAGTAGATGTATGTTGTACAGAAGTTATCTTATATTTTGTATGTAATTGATTTACAATTCTTTATTCTTATTGTTAACTTGAGGAATTAATATAATTTAAAGGAATCTTTAATATTTTAAATCCTTAAGAATAAGATATGTGCAATACATTTTAATAGATTTCCTAAAACATGTATAATGCGAAAGTTCTGAAGAATATAACTACCGCATATAGTACGGCGGGCACATATACTGCAACCCTGGACAACGAAATTGTTTCTAATATCCATTTTCGTAGCCACATGACAAGTAGTAAAAACCTTATTATTTCATTTATTTAGTATAACTACTTGAGCTGCAGGTGTGCAAATGCATTTAAGATATCGAAGAGAGAGAGCAAGCACAAAACGGTATGAAATCTTCACGTTGTCTAATATCCCATAGATTGATACGATTATTACTTCTAATATGGAACAACATAAATGAAATATTTCTGATATAAGATGACATATATCTTAATAATATTGGCCCAAGTAAGATCTTACAGAAGAAATAACACACTAAAAGAAAACGAAACAAAAAAAAAAACATGTAGAAAAGGAAAAAGATAAAATGTACACCGATTTTCTGCTTATTAATTTTCGTTTTATTTCAATATTCTCATAAATTGAATATGATTTAGCTCGCTACACAACATATGCGATTACTTATGGATAAGATATAATAATTATTATTCTTTTTATTGTTATTGATCGTTATAATACAATATATATATAGATTTCTGCAAACTAAATTAAATTAATTTATGTTACCTTTTTATATTTGGTTTTATTTATGAACTTAAATAACCAAAATGGCTCTGCATCAACTACATGCACTTATATTTATATATACTTACATGTAGTAATTAAGATTCAATTAGTTTGCAGAATAGGTGAATTCAAAATTTTTAAACATTCTCATATACATTGTGTAAAATAAATTTAGGCAATAGAAAACACCAAAAAAAAAATTACGTCATGCTACACAAATTCAATAGCATTAATTTTGTTTACAGGTGAAGTTAATGTTATAATTTTCTACATGCACAGAATTGGTTCCTACATGCCGTTAAAGGTATGCTGTAATTACGTTATCAGGCAATAACATATTTATCTGTTAGAAATATCGTGTTCATTTTACTTTTGGTATTTGGTTTGGCAATGTATTCGATTGCGATTAAATTTTTGAAAATTCAATCATAGATAATAGATATAGAAACATAAAATTCCATACAAATTTATTATTTGTCAAAAGAAAACATTCAATAAAGTCAGTTGAAAATATAATTTTTCTTGTAAGTAGGTAGTGTAAGAAACTCGAGTGGTCCTTACTCATACTCACATAGGATATATTTACCCATAACCCACAAAAGTTTGCCGACGGCTTATATACATAATCTTGCAAAATACAATATTATAACATGTTTCTAAGATTTTAGTTGAAAATAGAAGAAGTGCGATTTACCGCGGTAAAATGTGAAAATTGTTATCGAGTATACATATATAAATGATACTGCCTAGAATAAAGTGAAATTTCCGCTGCCGAGCTTACAGTTTTCGTTGAAATAGTCTATAATCACGTTTTACCGCTGATGATTTTTTGCATCATTTGTTTCATTGGTTTTATGTGCAAAATGCTGGAACTTAATTCTTCCGGTCCGTTGTTGTTCCGGGCTAACATTGAATATCATCCGCCGTTGTCGTTCACCGCTTTGATTTTGTTTTTGCATTTATTATACATATTCTATAACGTGCATATAATGAGTATTTTACTTCAATAAGAATGCATTTACAGAGTCCTATAAAATTAGACTATAGCATTCTTGAATCCATATAAAAATTTCGTGTCGCTGAACAGTAAAATAATTTATTTGCTGTTTAAAATTTAATTTTAATTTAAATTTAGTTAATAATTATATTTATTTTTTGTGTTATTAAATAAAATGAAGATTTATAATTTATATAAATAAATTTCTTCTTGTGTTCGTAATATTTTGTATGAAACAAAGGTGGTATTTAAAAAAAAATAATACTATAATTTATTTAAAAAGAAAAATCACTTAATAAATTTACTAAAATTTGGTGTACTTTTTAAAGTTTTAATTGTAATCATATTTAAATAAAATATAATAGTATATTTGATCACCTTCATATAAATAGAAATGGCTCGAAAGTGTTGCGCGAATAATGCAGAAGCAATAGTCTACGAGAAAAGGAGAACGTAAATTCTATACCTACATTTATTTTGCCAAAGAACGAGGACATCAGGGACAAATGGACAGAAGCATTAGGAAAAACGATTCGACACCAACGAAGTATTTTTAATTTGTAAAAGCTTTAGATTTTATAATTGTGGCAAATATAATTTAATCAATTACCTACTATTGTTAAGATTTTAACAGTTTATATAAGTATGTGATTTAATCTCTACTAAAAGAAAATTAAAAAATTTTGTGTAATTTAGATGAATACGTAGGTACATTTATGTGATAAAATTTATAGGTTTTCTGGTCAAATATTACTAGTTTTAAGAAAAATGGATTACAAATTATATTGTTTTAGTTAAATATGCTATGTAATTTTTTTAAAAACAATTTTTTTATATATTTACTATTTTGGTTTTACCTAAAAATATTTTGTTATCTGTAATTTATTATAATGTAATTGGTACCTATAATTAGTAACTAGTTTGTAAGAACAAAAAATGTAATTTTGTTAATAGTTAAACGAAATAAAATTATTTCTACATATTTTTTGTATTTAATTTTTCAAACATTCGTATTTTGTATTTTATTTTTCAAACATTCCAAATCATCATGAACATTTCTAATTTATTCGAAAATACCAAATATAAAATGTATTTAAAAAGTACGATGATCAATTTTCAAAACACTGTATGAATGCACCCGTGACTTCAATAATGCGCTCACGACGTAAATTTTACAAAATATCAAATTCTAAAAAGTTTAGTAAAAGCTCTTGACAATGTACACTTTTCATAACTGCGTTTTATACGTAGTGAAGACGTAAAATAAAAGTAAATCGCGTATTGAAAAAATCAAGCACGCTTGTCATATAAATGTTGCAGAAATAACCGATAAAATAAACTAGCATATATTTTCAGCAATAAAGTTCTATTTATCAATTTTTTTTCTTAAAATGCAGCATAAAGATGCTATATTTTTAATGATGTGATAACGTTTTAAAAAATGAACATTTGAACAGAACTTTAAATTGAAATTTTCAAATAAACGTGAGAGTTGTATGGATATGGTAAAAATTGTATTACAAAATGTACGAAAAGCTTTAGTAGTTTTTTTTACAATGTAAAGGTATTGAAAGCTCTGAGATGGTACTACAACCGTATTAATACCGTACTTAAATCTTTTTTAAAGCATTATTGAAGCCACGGTATTAGTAAATTATGTATTGTCAAGTCTTATATAAAGATGTCTGTGACAGAGTACAGGTGCTAGAGAAAACGAAATGACATACAGACCTCAAAGCAAATTGTAAAATTTACTCATTGATTGATTAGTACTGGCATATGAATGCAATTTTTTATATTTTGTAAGTCAACGGCTTATTACCTAATATAATTTTTAAATTTCCTTTTTTCATTAAATTAAATGTTTGTGTACATAATGTATACTTTGAGTACCAATGTATCAGCCTATACTCAACGGGGATCACAAAAATAATCTATGCTCCAATAATCCAATGTGAACTTTTTAAAACATCACATTTTTTTTGAATAACTAGAAAGATAAATTAAGTTTCTTTCGAAGAAGAAAAAACTTAATAATTTAAATTTATGAATTTCATCCGCGATACAGGAACTTGTGGTAAGTTTTTTTAATTTGCAAACTTTTTAAGATGCTGCATTATACAGGATTCAAAATCATCAAATAAAAGTTGTACGATTTTGTTAAAAAAAATAAAATTTCAATTTAAATTTTAATACAATGTATCCTTTTTTTATAAATGCATTGTATTATTTTACATTTGAAAACTTAAAAATCTTGATGTTTTTTATTATCTCATTTCATACTTTAATAAGAAATTGTTTTTACAACTGAAATACGAGTGACTATATAAAAAACCATATGTATCGAAAAAATTTTGGATACACAATTTGACAAATATTTCAGTGTTAAACAAGGTCTCAGACACAACATCAAATAAATTCTGAACATGACACATCGTCAAACTTTTTTGTTGATATTTTAGAAAATGATACAACTTGTCTGATTCGTCGTAGATGCAATTTTGAAGATACCTACAATGTATTGTTACCGACGGCGGGTGCCGCTGACGCCCTCACGCATGCTAATATAACTGGGCTACCTACTAATAATTTAAGACCTTAAAGTAACGATCGCAAACTACCAAAAAAAACCTTAAAAATATTTGAAAAAATATCCAAATTGCAATATTTTATAAATTTTAAGCAGGGAATTGCTAAAAGGAAACGACTAATTTCTACGAGGCAAAAGAAAATATTTGAATAACTTGTATATCAAATCAATGGTAATTTGTGCGATTACAATACTCACTTAACTGTGAATAAAGTTCTTAATTTTCAAGGAAAATATTTATTTATAAATGTTAACAGTTTTGGAAAATGGAAAAACAAAAGTAAAAAATTATGTTCAAACATTAATATGGATGAGAAAAATTAGGCGGTTAAACATTAAATTAGCTTAGCAAAGAACGTATCACTTTCGTGACTATCACGTGTATTACTCCTAGCAAGTGAGTATCTTTTGATCTTAAATTATGTTAAAAAAGAAAAGTTTTTAATAAAATATTTATGTTTTGAAAAGATAACTGCTAACACTATTGCAATATACAAAATATTTTCAAAAAAACTTCTATAAAAAACATTAAAACTCTCATGAGCTTTGCTTCTACAAATAGAATTCGCTGTTTGACCTCATCATAATAATTAAGTAATAGTAATGTGATTCTTACCTTCCACCTTGTTTCCATAACCACCCTTCCTTATCTGGATTGAAAAAAGTGTGCATCAAATCATTTCCATCATCTTGTGGTATTTTAAATGGCTCTGTTCTTATAGATTCATATAAGGATTCTAATAAACTCCTTGGTAAGTCTCCACCATTATTAATGCCACGATTCATTGTTATAAATTGCTCCACAGATGGTTTATCTTTTACTGAAGGATTGTGTAGAGATGTATTTAACATAATAATAGCAAAACTAAGTACATAACATGTATCCGTATTTGTGAAAATATCTGGATTTAATTGACAGTAACGTTGAGCAAAACATTCCATCATGCGGTCAATTTTTTGTGCTTCACCAGGCAGTCGAAATGACCACAAAAATTGTCTAAAATCAGGAAAATATATTTATATACGTCGTATATGTTTTTGAAATCTTAAATTTCTACCTTAGAGCCTGAACCAAAATCAAATTAGTGAAATCATGTAATTCGACAAAAGCTTTTAGAACCTGTTCGTTGAAATCATTTTTTTCACCTAAGTAGTCTCCTAAAAAATTATGAATAAATAGAATTAACTTTGCTATACCATTTTAAAATATGTTTTAATACTCGTATATGTAACGTATGTGCATTTTGCTGTGGACAAATGTATCTAGATACATATGTATATTATGTGCTGTTTCAATATTAAGTTTTAGTTGCATTTAATTTTTGTACATACATATTTTATGTACAAAACATAATCAAATAAAATTCATATTTTCTTAGCTTATACAAGGAAATACTAAATAAACAATAATATATGTATGTACTTTGTTCATAACATTTTTAACTTGTGGTTTTTACTTTGAAAAAATATATTTTTAAAAGTCGTGTAGTTTTTGACAGAAAAAAGTAATCTGACCTTCAGTTTGATAGAAAAAATAGACTTAATATGTACTACCATGGTTTCGAATAGAAAGAATGCAAGACTGTCAATTGTACTAAAATTTCCGCGAGCAAATTGATGTCTTTAAAATACTCATAATTCTAAGCTCATCATTTTTACGGTTGTGAAAATTTGTTTTTCAAAGTTTTTTCCTGTTTTGAAAATTTTTAAATTGGTACAATTTTAAAAGTTGAAGGTCGTATCTTAAAAATTATAAAAATGATGTTTTTCACCATTCGCGCCGCGTACCCAATTGTATTTTATATGAATTTAAATATATATTATATGAATTTAAATATATATTTTCACTCATAATTAGTAGCATCACTTGAAGAGATGGCATATTATTGAAAAATATTTTGATTTTTGATACAAAATTTGAAATTTCGAAATTAATTTTATTGAGAAAATTACAAAATTTTTGAATAACAACCCGATTACGTCAAATGATGTGATTAACAAAATGGGTGTACAAATAGTTACACATGTTTTTAAAGCTGCTTACCTATAGCCGTTTTATTAAGTCCTTCCCCTTTATACAAAAAGTGTGCAACATCTTGTGGATCCATTACTAGAAGGTGGTTATCGACTAGATACTCTATACCTAAAAAGAAAGCATAGTAATTTATAACTTTATAGTGTTTAACATATTTTTATAAAATACGACAAAAATTCTACTAAACTTATTTAAACCAAGAAAAAGTAAAAATAATATAATTGAAGATAGTAGAACCCAAACCTATATATTTGCGGATTAATAAGTTTTGAGTAAAATACAAAAAATGTTTTGTGAGTAATTCAGCACCTCATATTGCAAATTATGTTATTTATACTCGTGAAAAAATTTGCTTTCTGGGGGGGCCAACTATTGCTTTTTGATTCAACATCAACATCGAAAACGACGACACCATTCATCGCAAGAAGGAGTACCTTAACCAAACGTACCCCACCCATAGGAAACACAATTGATGAAGCAACTGAAGGAGGAGATCATCATCGTGGGAATCCCGAAGATAATGAGAAGTATATCCTAAAAGAAAGGCTAGCACAAATTGAACAGCTATGTGAAAAACTAAAAAATGAAGTTGAAGACCTGAAAACTGAAAACTTAACTTTAAGAACTGCTTTACTAAGACTCAACAAAATTAATTCAGACAGCACTAGCTCGTCAGAACTGACTCATTTTGAGACTGATTCTGATACAAATAAAAAAATTGCAGTATCAAGAAGGCCAAGTAAAAAAAGGAAAGCTAAATGCTCTCCGGAGGCTACTACTCAGGCGAATCGGGCGTGTGGTGGTAGTTCCGATGCTAAACAAAACAATAACGTTGTACCTAATCAGCAAAGACAACCAACCAATCCCAGCACTGTAAGCAATATTCCTACAGTCAACAAAGTGGCAATATCCACGAGCGAAAACAAGGCAACAAAAGTTCATGCACCACCTCCTATAAATATTGTAGGTATAAATTAATTTAAAACTATACAAAACATAGTCAACGCTGTGACCAAAAAACACAAAATTGTATCATTAGCCAACAACGTCTGGAAAATCAATACAGAGACTCCTGACTGCTATAGAGCCCTAGTACAAAAACTAGAAGCCGACAAAATACAATGGTTTACGTACGAGAACAAAAACGATAGACCTATCAGTGTGATGGTAAGAGGTCTGCACTCATCATGCGGAATATATGATATTATAGCAGACGTAAAGCAACAAGGCTTAAAAATCACAAATGCTGTTAACATTCAAAAAAAGGAAAGGGTTGTGAATAATAACGGAGAACAATCTTCAATTATGAGAAGTCTCCCACTATTTAGGCTAACCTTTGATAATAAAGAAAACATTGATAAAATATACAACATCAAAGCCATCTTAAACATAATTGTAAAAATAGAACCGTTAAAAAGGAACCCTAGTCATATACCGCAATGCAAGCGTTGTCAGAGCTACAATCACACCGAAGCGTACTGCAAAAAAACACCTAAATGTGTTAAATGTGCTGAAGAACACTTAACGGCGAATTGCAGCAAAAGCAAAGACTCTGCCCCACTATGTGCCAACTGTAATGGAAGACATCCTGCAAACTACCGAGGTTGTGAGATAGCTAAAGAATTTCAAAAAAGACGTAAGCAAAAGCTAAAAACAAAAAATCCAAGTAGAAAACCTACCCAAGTTCAAATTGACAATGCAACTCCCAACCTTAACACGCCACTAAATTGCAACAATATTACTAGTAACTCGTATGCGCAAATATTAAGGGGTAAGCCAAACCAAGACAACAATAACTCTATTGAAAAAACATTATTACTAATATTACAAAAACTTGACGAGCACAATCTTGCGGACAAAAGAATTAATGATAAAATAACTCAGCTAGAAAATAAGTTAAACCAGATTAAAGCTAGAACAAAATAATGCCAGACCTAAGAATTTTAACATGGAATGCCAATGGGATTCTGCAGCACTTAAATGAATTAGAATTAGTATTACGAAATGATGATATTGACGTTTGCTTAATTTCGGAATCTCACTTAGTTAGTGATTTATATATCAAAATAAGGGGTTACAGCTTTTACCACGCTTGTCACCCAAATGGCAAAGCTGAAGGGGGTTCTGCAATATTTATTAAAGAAAATCTAAAACACAATGAAGAAAGCAAAATAGAACTAGAAACTATGCAAGTAACAACAATTAAAATTCACTCCCTTAAAAGCATACAATTTAACATATCGGCATTCTACAGCCAGCCTAAGCATAATCTTAAAAAGAATGATTATGTTAGTCTCTTAGAAAGCCTTGGCCTTTTCTTTATCATTGGAGGAGATTTCAACGCAAAACATGTACATTGGGGGTCAAGATTAACAACGACAAAAGGGAGAGCACTGTATGAAGCATCTAATGACTTAAATTGCAAATTTATCTCAACAGCGAAACCAACATATTGGCCAACTGACACTAATAGAATTCCCGATCTACTGGATTTCTTTATTCTAATAGGGCTAGCAGACAAATTTACTAAAATTGTGGAATGTCCAGATCTCCACTCTGATCATACTGCTATTATTCTAACTGTTAGCAAAACAATAATAAATAAAGACAATAAGATAGCGCTGGTAAATCACAAAACTGACTGGCAAATGTTTCGGAAATGCCTGGAAGAAAAAAATATTTTAAAAATTCCATTAAAAAGTGCTTACGATATCGAAGAAGAATTAGATAACTTTGTCAAAATATACAAGACGCGGCTTGGCAAAGTACTCCACAGCAAAATAAAAACGCAAGAAATCAAAGTTCAGTTACATATCCCGCTGAAATAAGGCAATTAGTTGCAGAAAAAAGAAGACTTCGTAAGAGATGGCAGGTAACCAGAGCTCCCTCTGATAAAACAATACTAAATAATGCAAGCAACAAATTGAAAAAGGCACTAAAGGAAAATAAAAACAAAACTATAGAACACTTTCTAACTGGGTTGTCCGCAGGCAAAGAAAATGATTATTCCCTTTGGAAGGTAGCTAAAAGTTTAGATAGACCCACACAGCAAGTACCACCAATCAAAGCTAACGACAGTTGGATAAGGCAGAGCAAAGATAAAGCTGAAGTTTTTGCAAAACATCTGGAGAACACATTTACTCCTCTCCCACGACAAACTGCGGAAGAATTTGCACCACAACAACCAAACTCTGATCGTTTACCTGTAACCAAAGTTAAGCTAAAAGAACTTAAACAAGAAATAAAAAACCTGAAAACTAAAAAAGCGCCTGGTTACGACTTAATCACAGGGGAAATATTGAAGGAATTACCAGAGATAGCTGTTAAAAAACTTCTTCACATAATAAACGCCATATTAAATAATAAATACATACCGATGCAATGGAAATCTGCTGAAGTTATTATGATATTAAAACCAGGGAAACCCCCAAATGATAAATCTTCCTACAGACCAATATCGTTACTACCGGTTATGTCTAAAGTTTTTGAAAAAATATTTCTGAACAGATTAACCCCAATTATTCATAATAGGAAACTGATACCGGACCACCAATTTGGATTCAGAACAAACCATTCGACCATAGATCAAGTACATTGTATTACTGATATTATTGAGAAGGCGCTGGAAAACAACCAAATTTGTGCGGCACTATTTCTCGATGTGGCCCAGGCATTTGACAAAGTCTGGCATAAAGGACTATTATATAAACTTAACAAAATGCTACCGAAAGATCACTGTCAAATTCTATCGTCATACCTGTGTGGAAGGACTTTCCGTGTTAAATGTGAAGAAGAATACTCTGCCCTAAAACCAATCAGGGCTGGAGTTCCGCAGGGCAGTGTTCTGGGGCCCATTTTATACGTTCTATTCACCAGAGATGTCCCAACAAATCAACTAAGTACTGTTGGTACTTTCGCAGATGATACAGCCATTTTAGTAACAGCAAAAACGATAGATGAAGCGACAACCGGCCTCCAAACTTCAGTTGACAAAATTAGCAAATGGACGAAGATGTGGAGAATCAAATTAAATGAGACAAAGTCAGTTCACATAAACTTCACGAACAAAAAATATGAGCTACAAAGAATAGAAATAAACTCAAACATTATCCCGTATGCTAACACAGCGAAATACTTGGGCATGACTTTGGATGCAAAACTAAAGTGGAAAGAGCATGTAAAGAAGAAAAAAGATGAAATGAAAATAAAAATCCGAAAACTTGACTGGCTAATTGGAAAGTATTCTAAATTGAACCTGCAAAACAAATTATTAATATACAACCAAATAATCAAACCCATATGGACTTACGGTATTCAATTATGGGGTTGCACGAAAAAATCAAATCATCAAAGCATACAAGTACTACAAAATAGGGTACTGAGAAATATAACAGCAGCGCCGTGGTACGTTCGTAACAATGTGATCCACCGCGATCTAAAAATAAATTTAGTAACAGAAGAAATTAAATCCAGGCAATTAAACACAAAGATAGAACACTTCGCCATCAAAATATTGAAGTTAGGAGCTTAGTTCAGACTCCAAATCACCAAAGAAGATTAAAAATACTGAAGCCGTTTGATTTGATTGAATAAATCAAGTTCAGAATAAACAAGTAAATTAATTTTATTACAGCGGTCAAGTGTCCATATTTAAATTTTTCAAATTTCATTGTAGGTGTTTAAAAAAATAATAGACATTTTAAAAAACAAAATACAAAAAAAAAAAGTTTAATTAAAATGAAATCGTTTTCGCTCAAGAAAAGTCCTTCTAAAATTTTTTTTTTTTAACAATAGGATGTGATGGCAACAAATTTTGCATATCGAGTTTTCGGTGGGAATGCACTTCTCCATTATAGGGAAGTGTAAATAAACTATTTTTAGCAACCTGTGGGTCTGTCGATCTGTCGGTCTGTCGGTCTGTGTGTGTACGCATGTATCTCAAGTTCGGCTAAACCAATTTTGATGAAATTTTATATGTAAGTTTATTTCCACCATGGCACGAATTGATCAACTTTTGGGATGTATCAAGCCTCGGGAACTGCACTTTTTAGCGGGCCTGTTTTACATTTTTGAATATTTTGAAGAAAATATTCAACCGATTTACTTCAAATTTCATATATAAGCTTAGCTCGATCGTCCGCGAAACCTCCTAACTTTTGGAAAAAATCAGGTGTCAGCAATTGGACGTTTACTACGGGTCAAATATACATTTTGCTGTATATAAAGAGAAAAAACCAACCGATTTCAATGAAATTTAATATTTAAATTCTTCGTATTAAAACAATGAATATATAAATTTTTTGGAAAGATCAGAACCCGAAAACTGATTTGCGGGCAGATTTTACATTTTTCACCATTTCTACGGAACGAATCAGTGGAATTTCTTTAAATTTGATATTTGAGGTCTGGTTGTTACCGAAACTAACTGGCGAGCATTTCAGTGAATTCGGGTAGCAGAGAGCAAAACTCTACTAAGAGCCAAATTTACATTTTTCTAGGTATGTTAACTATAAGCTTACTAATGTCCTAAAAATTGAAAAGAAGTATTTAACAGATCTTTTTATAATATTCTGTAATACTTTCACTTAACTGGACAATACACATTGCGGTCGGTTATGTGCTGACCACATCAGATTTTTTTTTTATTGCTGTTTCGCTCCTGGGAAGAGCATAGGACTGGTGCACGATATTGTAGATAATCATTAACACCAGTTTCTTACCAGATTAAAAAGACTGAAGCCGTTTGATTTGATTGAATAAATCAAAAAATTAATTAGGGGGTTTGTCCACTGGGTATCACTCCCCTTCCTCCTCAACGCATTAGTACATAAAATTGCTAGATAGGTTACATTAACTTAGTTGCAATATAATATTGAAATAAAAAAAAAAAAAAAAGCCTTTTTGTAAAGAAATATTAAAGATAAACAAGACATTTTCAATAAAAAACGTAATTTAAGAATGCAAATGTGGAGTTTTGTTGCAACTACATGCAAGTATTGGGTTTCCTTGCAACTAAAGTTACAAAAAAGGTTTTTGTTGCAATGATTTTGGTTAAACAAAAAAACAAAATATTTTTAAACTCAATTTCATTCAATTATATTTAAACTGAACAATAAAAATGTTTAATAAAAGACTTAAAATTAACATATTACTTTCTTTCGTATTTCATGTAACTTAACTTTAAACTATTAAAATGTTTCGTAAACAAATCAAAATTCCTGATAACAAATGTTTCGTAAACGTTTATTTTGATTTCATTATGTTTGAAGATTTATTTCTTCGGTTAGTACAAGGAATTCAAAAATATCAAACGCATTCTCATACCGACCCTGCTTTTTGTTTTATTTCATCGAATATTTTTGTCGAACTTTGCTTAATTATCAAAAATTTTACGTTACTAATCACAAATTCTAAGGCTTTTTAAAATTTTAATTTATTGTGCTGACCCTGCACATAATTGCTAAATTTTCTGGTAATAAATGCTAAATTATTTTAAGTTAGGAAGTTATTCAAAAAGCCATTTTTTTGGTTTGCTATGCTAAACCCATAAAATTATTTATGAACAAATTACATACATACTTTCAAAAGTATATACTCATACTTGAAATTCGCCAATTAACACTCTTTCAAGACAAAATCATATTAGGCCTGTCTGGTATAAAAAAATTTTTAAAAACTTTATAAAGTTTTTGCATGCAAAACGTCTGGGATAATACTTTTTGAACAAAAATGAGAGAAAATGGTGACGTTTTCATTTTCTTAATGTTTAAAGTTTTTTCAAATTTTGTAAAGTAAAATTTAGTGCTTTATAAACTTTTAAAACGAGAAATTATGTCATTGCTTCTTGTTTTAAAGTTTTTTCAACTTTTATCCCAGACAAATCTATTTTGTCAAACATTAAATCTACAAATAATGTATTTTAAAACGCCATTTTAAGGCTACTAATACTACAATTCAACATGGAAATACAAACAAACATGGGATTTTTTTACAAAATGACAAAAAATAGAGTTGACCGTGTCATGGGACAGACTATAACTTTAAGTTATTATATTACCAATTAATTTTTGCAAAATTTTAGTACGGGGTATGGCAGCTACCAGAAAGAGGAGAGCAATTTTAACGACTTTTATTAAACACGTTGGCCCTACTAATATATAGTCGCTTGTGTGAAATTGCAATATCACAGCTTTTATAGTTTCTGAGATATAGCTAAATAGCTTTTGAAGTTGTATGGCAGCTACCAGGAGCCAACCAATTTTAACAACTTTTATCAAACACATTGGCCCTACTAATGTATTCGCTTGTGTGAAATTTCAATATCACAGTTTTCATAGTATCTAAGATATTGTCAAATAAATTTTGGGTTTGATTCTTCTACGATTTTTTAAATTGTTTTTTTTAGTGAAATAACGGGGTTTAGCAACATATTTATGATAGGAAAGACTTTATTTTCACATGAGCAAAAAAGCCTTTTGAATTACTTTTTATGTAATATTTAATAACGTATGAATTATTATTTTTTGTAAGCAAACTTTAAGTTTTATATTAGACGAAATATAAAATTATATTACAATACCTTTTTTTGGATCCATGTTGAATTTTTTCCGACCTATTGACATTTGCTTATCTTTGTTGGAATGTTTACATCCTTCTTGTGAATCCAATGTCTCCATTTCAGATACAACTTCGCACAACTCATCCTTGATTTGCTGGATAGAAAAAAAAAATCATTTTGAGTTTCAAAAAATACCTATATGTTTGAAGTCCCAAATATGGTCAATTTAATAAAAATCTAGTAAAATAGCGATCAAATAAAAAAGCAAATAAAATATTAAGAAAATACAGAAATGCGTTCAAATCTTATTCTTCTTTAAAAATCTTCTTATTTTTTTAATGATTTCTAATATGAGAATTCCTGTAAGTCTATGTTTTTGTATAAATTTTGAAACAACCCCAGCATTTATGATAAATATTTACTTCAACAAATCAAAGTATGTCTATAAGTAAAAGATATACATACTTCTATTTAAACACTTACCTTCCCATTATTGTCGAATACATAGGTTTTTTGAATATTTTGAGTGTGATTGAATGAATCATATTCGAAGGCTTTTGATCCTTTTATCGGCGTCTTACACGCGATACAGAAATTATTATCATCATTTATGCTATTTCTTTTGTAGTTGTAATTATTATTTTGAATCAATAGCTTAAGGTTAACACTATCTTCCCCACTTGTATTTGTTTCATCAATAAACAAAAAGTCATTACATTCTAATAATGGTGAGTTTTGCAGTGACGAAAAGGTCCTTGCTTTAGGTTTATCACTTATATCACTATCATCACAGTTATTATTGCAATTACTTATATTATGAACCATATGAGAAATACTACTATTACTACTATTATCACAACTGCTATCATCCAGTATGGAACCCAAACTACTAGCTCGGAATTTGCGAAAATGTTGTGATATTACGTCTTCATTTTCATTGAAAACAAAGCCAGAACGGTTCGTCATCAATGTTGTCGTTCGCGAGACGAGTGTTGTGGTTGTTTTTTTGATTTCAGATCTTTTATTATAAACCAATTTACTTCCATCAGGACTGGGAATCTTAGTTACTTTAATGTCTGTAATGCAATCGGTTTCTATTTTGAGTTCTGATTTGCTATTATAGTCATTAGGTACAATAAACAAACCCGTCGTCGGTTTCTGAAACCGACAGCAGCATTTTGAACACAATTGCCGAACATTACGGCCACTTAGCAAACTTTTCTTATCGCTACATAAACTGCTATTATCACAATTAGTATTAAAATTATTATTATCAGAGTTTTTTAATTCACTTTGAATTTTTGGCTTCGCACTCCCATAAAGATTTTTAACCGGAATGTTCACATGTTTATCGTCATTCTGATGTTTAGGTAACGGTATGTCTGCATAAAATGTGCTGTTAGATGTCAAATCAATGCAACTTTTTTGCAGTTTTTTTGCATCAATAGATTTCTTGTTTCTTTGTTGCCGACGTAATGATGAAAACCAGTTCGACATACTTTTTCTGTTTTCAATTTTATGTATTAAATATAATTTATAAAGCAAATATTTATTCTTATGATTTCCAATTACAGTTTTTTAACTAACTGAATAACAAACAAAAACCATGTCCTTATAATTTCATATAGTACTTTAACTTTCTATAACATTTATAATTATATATATTATGCACCCTTATTGTGAATTTCCCTCGTAGAATTCTATGAACTTCGAACTAAGTTACGCACGTAGAGTTTTAATTATAAATCTCACTTATAGAAGGTATGAATCTGCAATAGCAATATTATTTTTCGGAGTGCCAAAATCGATATTTTATTACAGCTGTCAAGTGTCCATATTTAAATTTTTCAAATTTCATTGTAGGTGTTTAAAAAAATAATAGACATTTTAAAAAACAAAATACAAAAAAAAAAAGTTTAATTAAAATGAAATCGTTTTCGCTCAAGAAAAGTCCTTCTAAAAATTTTTTTTTTTAAACAATAGGTAGGTGATGTGATGGCAACAAATTTTGCATATCGAGTTTTCGGTGGGAATGCACTTCTCCATTATAGGGAAGTGTAAATAAACAATTTTTAGCAACCTGTGGGTCTGTCGATCTGTCGGTCTGTCGGTCTGTGTGTGTACGCATGTATCTCAAGTTCGGCTAAACCAATTTTGATGAAATTTTATATGTAAGTTTATTTCCACCATGGCACGAATTGATCAACTTTTGGGATGTATCAAGCCTCGGGAACTGCACTTTTTAGCGGGCCTGTTTTACATTTTTGAATATTTTGAAGAAAATATTCAACCGATTTACTTCAAATTTCATATATAAGCTTAGCTCGATCGTCCGCGAAACCTCCTAACTTTTGGAAAAAATCAGGTGTCAGCAATTGGACGTTTACTACGGGTCAAATATACATTTTGCTGTATATAAAGAGAAAAAACCAACCGATTTCAATGAAATTTAATATTTAAATTCTTCGTATTAAAACAATGAATATATAAATTTTTTGGAAAGATCAGAACCCGAAAACTGATTTGCGGGCAGATTTTACATTTTTCACCATTTCTACGGAACGAATCAGTGGAATTTCTTTAAATTTGATATTTGAGGTCTGGTTGTTACCGAAACTAACTGGCGAGCATTTCAGTGAATTCGGGTAGCAGAGAGCAAAACTCTACTAAGAGCCAAATTTACATTTTTCTAGGTATGTTAACTATAAGCTTACTAATGTCCTAAAAATTGAAAAGAAGTATTTAACAGATCTTTTTATAATATTCTGTAACACTTTCACTTAACTGGACAATACACATTGCGGTCGGTTATGTGCTGACCACATCAGATTTTTTTTTTATTGCTGTTTCGCTCCTGGGAAGAGCATAGGACTGGTGCACGATATTGTAGATAATCATTAACACCAGTTTCTTACGTCATTGAATTTTACTAGGTAGGTGACGAGCCTATCGTAGTTTTATATTAAATATTTAAGGTTATTGATATTTACTATTTTATTTTTCTGGTATTTTTAATATTGGATATTATTGAAATAAGGTAATTAGTTAATATGTATAGTATCATGTAATTTCTATAAAGCTATATAATATTGAATATAATTGTTATAGTGACCTGACTGGGCTTTGAACCCGAGACCCTTAAAGGACCAGTGCAATAACCACTGCATCATTGTTGATTCTACTAAATACTTGCATTTTCTTATTTTACATAAAAAAAAATTAACAAATAAACAAAAACTAAAAAAAATTAACTGACCACTCTTGAATATTGGTATGTATTGCTACTTTTGCCAAACGATTCTCGTATTTTAAATTTTGACAGAAATTTTTCAGATACTACAGAATGCTACTTTCGTATACTTTTCATTATCTTTCTAAGTTTTTGAAAAAATAAAACTAAACAATAAGTGTTACATTTATTTTACTTTATTAAATTAAAAAAACCCTGCATTTCAAATTTACTTTTTAGTTTTATTTTTATAGGACTTAACTTTGTATCTTAAGAGATCTTGTCACATAGCACCAAAATACTTGCGAATCGCAAATTAACTTACGCACATTAGCGACTTTCGCATTTTTGCATAACGGGCCACCTGACTTTCTACGTTTGAAAATTTCATTTGTTAAAATTTTGATATTTATTTTCATTACGAGTGTGATTAATTACGAATTTCGGAATACAATTCTACTTCTTCTTAATTTTCGTAAAAAATTAAGTTCTTCTTTCGTAAAAAATTAAGTTCGTAACTTCTCCGAATTTCAGTGCTACGGGTGAGATTTACAACAAGGGTGATGATGCTTTCGCAGTAATGTTAAAAAATAATGAGCAGCGTTCCCACTTGGATAAAATTGTATCCATATGTTAAAACGTCGAAATTGGCTACATTTTAAAATTTTGCTGAAATATGGATACATTTCCTTTTCCAACACTAAACAAACGTTACCAAACTTTTAAAGTGCTACTAATATTAAATCGCGAAATTGCTTTATCTTCCAAAAATATGTTATTTGCTGACCAAATAAAATTTGTCCGTTTTCAAGGCGAATCGTTTCAACAGCTACAGAACATATATTTTCTGACCTTAACTTTTAAAGTGCAATAGAAATTGCGTGTGATTTCTAAAAGAATTTACTAAAAATAACGAAACTCACATTGTTGAATAAAGCAAATTAATATTATTTATATGAGTTTATTTGTACAAAATAAGACGACTTTGTATAATAACAATACTTTAAAAGGCTGGATACATTTTGGATACATTTTTTTCTCGAAATTGAAAACAATTTGTTTTTACCGCGTGGGAACACTGATAATGAGTATTTTTTACATATACATATGCAAACATGTGAATAAAATAAAACTAATGTGGTAAATTAAAATTTTAGAGAAATACAGAATGTTAATTTTATTTAAATTTTAAATAAAACAGAATTTGGAAAACTTTTCTACACTGGCACTAATGCACATACATTCATACACATATTTAAATAGGCAATAAGTAGGTGCAAATTAACATTAGTACATGTATTTGTTCAAAATAAAATATATATACATATAGAACTGGTTTAAGTATTGCGCCTGGGAATCAAAAATAAAAAAAATATTTTAAATATTAGGACGAAATAATGTTATATTGTGAGAAAATAAATACACTTATCAACAAGATGTAAACTTATGTCGTTTAAGTTGTGCTTTGGAATAGTGAGTTGCACTTTAGATTTAAAAACTTTAAACCTTATTTTATTTTCATTTGCGTATAACACACAAATTGCAACAGTGGTGTTTTTACAGACTGTAGATGTAAAAGTGTGAGTGTTCGAGCCCTTATATCAAATCATGTATTGTTCTGAAACTGTTTAATTTTACTATAAGTTAGAAAAAATAAACTTAATTAGGAGTTAGTTTTCGAGTAAAAAATACTACAATGTATTTCTTAAATTTTGAGTAGCAAATACTTTAAAAGTTATGAATGAAGTCACTATTTGTCAATATGAACATACATATGTACATATTTTTTGTTTTAGCTTAAGGTATTTTTAAAGTCTTTGCTTAAATTCTATTCTCGGTAATCAAAACCACAAAGTAAAAAAATATACACACCAGATCTTGAATATAACAAATGGGTATACATAATAATATTTCTAAAAAGGAATTGATTACACACATAGCTTTTCATTGCATAGGTATTAACAGATAAGTGAATACTAATTATATTCTATTGTATTTTCTTTAATTACTAATTATATTCTATTGTATTTTCTTTTTCTATTGTACGAGTATTTTATTTTTCATATAGGTAATTCGATTTTTTTTTAACAATTAAATCTAAGGTTTGTGCAGAATCATCAAATAAAAGTTGTACGATTTTGTCAAAACCGAAAAAAATTATTTTGATACAATGTTTCCTTTTTTTTAAACACATTGTACTATTTTACATTCGAAAATTATGCTTTGAATTATTTCATTCCATTGCTTACTTTAATAAGAAAATTTTTTGCTTCCATTTATTTTATTTTAAAAATTTCTATAAAACTGAAATAAGTATATAAAAAAACGTAAACACCAAAAAAAATTTTGGATACGCGATTTAACAAATATTTCAGTATTAATAACGTCTCAGACACAACATCAAATAAATTTTAAACATAACACATCGTCAATTTTTTTTGTGTTATTTTAGAAGATGATACGATGTGTTTGATGCGTCGTAGATGCAATTCCGAAGATACCATTAATAAGTAATAGAAGTATTTAATAAATTTTTAAAATAATCTCAAATACTTATGTTCAAAAAAAAAAGAAAGATCACACTTACTACACATCGAAAATTTTAGTACTCGGCATTTTCAATAGTTTCAGCTGTAAAAAGTTAGATGGAAAATAGAACAAGATTGATGGATTGAATTGGGGGTTTACAAGTCGAATGTTTCAAATTTTCATCGTTTCAAGCTAAATCGTACAATTTTGCTTGATTTGTAAACGCTGTCAACGAAAATCTTTATAAAAAGTTTTGGCCTACAAGATTACCGCTTGAAAGAAACTGTCAGATGATGCTCTCAGTAATTAAAAATCTTAATTGAATATTATTAAATTTAAAAAGTTTTTACTAACAGTAGCTTTATAAATTTTTTGGAATCTCATCATATTTTAAAATGATAACAGAGAAATCGTCTAAATAAACGTTTAAATCCATTATAATCGTCTAAATCCATTATAAACGATTCCCGCATACAAAATTTAATCTGATTAAGTAATCTTTATTGTGAAATTCAAAATTTATATTAAAGTTTATAAGTACTCGAAAAAATTATGCACGCGTACCACATACATTACTACCTATATATACATATTTATGTCTATTTTTTTGCTGAATTAATATAGTACTTCTGGCAACCCCTAAACATATTTATAAGGATGTCTTTATCTGTATCATATTTCGTAAGTTTCGTCATAGTTTTCCTAAATTTTTAGAAAGAATTCAAAGATCATAATAAGTAAGCACTGTTAAAAAGTTTCTTTATATACAATATTGTGTGTTACGACAGCATCAATCGTTTCTCCAATGAGCGTTATTTTTAATTCGAATTGATAGCACTTGAACAACCAGTACAAGGTTGAGTCTGAGAAAAACAGAATAAGATAAATTTCTATTTTTGCAAAGGTTTGATCCTAATATTTATTAATCTTTAAAGCGTATGCATGGATCAGTGAAATCAGTTGTATAACAAAATTAAACGGAGAGTCGTTTGATGTTCTATTCTTATCAAATGATATTCATACATTATTCTTTGCTAAAAAATTATTTTTGCGTTTGCAAAAT